AAAGGGTGCGAACGTGTAGGGTGCGAACGGACCCGGGGTGCGAACGTGAAAGGGGGCGAACGTGAATGGGCGCGAACGGACCCGGATTCGATTTATTCCCCATTTTGTTGTAAATTGTCGAAATTCATCGGAACTAAACTGAGGTCCGTTATCGGATACAATTGTTGTCGGGATTCCAAATCTCGCAAACTGTTTCTTAAGTATTGTGATCACTTGACTAGAGGTTGTTTTCGATAAGTAGTCTACTTCGGTAAAATTCGAAAAGTAATCAATGACCACAAGGTATGGTCTGCCTTTTATCAGGTCAGGAATAACCACCAATTGGTGGACTATACCTCAATTGACGTATAATCCACCAATTGACATATATTGGTATAGACCAATTGACGTATAATGCAAGTTTTTTGTAATAAAACGCTAGTCTGGGATAGGAGCATCATTTTGCATCTTGCAACCTATTTTATAACCATTATTGAATCCTCCTAAAGTTTCAGTTTTGTCAAAGCCTGCTGCATCTCTTGAGAATGCATGTGTATAACAATTCTTTTGTTAAAACATCTGTACTATTGACCATGATTGACTTTTAATAATGAAAGTCAAGTATTAACAAAGAGATCCATTCACCTGGTGAGTTGTACTCATAATCACATGACCGAAGACAGTATTGATGTCCATTGACCGGTGATTAGTGGAAAATTTACCAATCAAGAATTGACAAGAAAACAATAGAAGAAACTGCAAATACAATTATTGATTAAATGCAATATGTTATGTCACTATACTTAACTAGGAATGTTTGACATGTTTTCATACCATAATATGGTTATAAGAAAACAATGCTCCATTTTGGTTGTATAGTTTGCTTTGAAATACAAAGAATTATACTTCAATTGGTCTATACCATTATATGTCAATTGGTGGATTATACGTCAATTGAGGTATAATCCACCAATTGGTGGTTATTCCTGACCTGTTTATTTCGAACAAGTCCATTCCTATTTTCGTCCACGGTGATTGACCATCACTGTGTTGTATTAACGGTTCCCGTTGATTTTTCTGTTTTGACTCTTGGCAAATTTCACATAACTCTGTCATTTGTTTTATCTCTTTTGCCATTCCTGGCCAAAATATTGTTCCTCTGGCTCGCCTCATCATTGAATCATAACCTAAATGAGCACTGTGTAAACGGTTTTTCATTTCATTTCTTAATAATTTCGGAATGAGGATGGCTTCTACTTTTACAACTATTCCTTCTTGGATACTAAGTTCGTCTCGCCATTCAAAAAACGGTAATGCACAGTACGGCACAGTGTCTCTGTGTTGTGGCCATCCATCATTGATGATTCTTTTGAGAGTCTGTAATTCGGTATCTTCTGCTGTTGCCAATCTTATCTTATCCGGTATATCTTCAAAAGTATTTAATTGCATAATTCGTGGTCTTGCTGTCTCTGTAGCATTGTCATTTTCCAAAAATGCTCTGCTTAGAGTGTCTGCTAATACAAGGTTGACTCCTTTTACAAATCGGAATTCAATGTCATATCTGAATAATTTCATCATAATGTCTTGTAATCTTTTTGGTGCACGACTTAGCGGTTTACTTAATATCGCAGCAAGTGGCTTATGGTCATTCTGAACTATAACTTTACGTCCATATGTGTACTGGTCAAAACGCTCGAGACCATATAACATTGATAATGCTTCTTTTTCAATCTGAGCCCAATTACACTCTGACGGTTTTAGTGCTCTTGACGCAAATTCAACAGGTTTCCCTTCTTGCAGCAGTACGGCTCCCAGACCACTCTTACTACTGTCGACTTGCAGTACAACTTCTTTGTTGACATCAAAATAAGCCAATATGGGTGCTTCGGTAAGTCTTTTCTTTACCCTTTGAAATGCCATATTGCATTCATCGGAACATATCCACGGTACATCTTTTCTAGTGAGTTCACGGATCGGTGCTAGATCATTTGCAAGATCTGGCAGAAATTTTGCCATGTACTGTACCATGCCACACAATCTTTTCACTCCTGACACGTCGGTCGGACAGGGCATTTCATGTATCGCCTTTACTTTAACATCGTCAACTTTTACCCCTTCTCTTGTAATACGGTGACCATGAAACGTGATCTCGGTTAGTCCAACTTCTTTCTTTTCCTCATTAAGAAGAATGTTATGGTCATTACAACGTTGAAACAACTTTTTGAGTTTTCGATCATTGTCTATTAGTGCTTCCTCGTTCGTACGACCACAACCTGCAACAATGATATCGTCTGCTATTGTGAATACTCCTTCTATATCTCCCAGAGTTTCTGTGAGCTTTCGTTGAAAAATTTCGCTTGAAACTTTGAGACCAAACGGAAGTCTCGCCCAACGGTATCGCCCAAATGGTGTTATCATTGTTGTTAAATCACTAGACTCTTTGTCTAGTTTTACATTCCAATATGCCTCTCGAACATCAAGTCGGCTAAAGATCTTAGCATTTGCTAATTTCGGAAGTACGTCATCTAGAGTTGGTAGTTTATAATGTTCTCTCATTAATGCAGTATTAAGCGGTTGCGGATCAATGCAAATTCTCAGTTTTCCATTCGGTTTTCTTATGACTGCCATTTGACTAACCCATTTAGACGGTTCAGTCACTGGTATCAAAACTTGTCTCTCAACTAACTTGTCAGTTTCCTTCTTAACATCGTCTTGTAAAGAGATCGGCAGTTTCCTACTTGCAGGTACATTTTCATCAACTTTCAGAGTTATCTCTCCTAGAATGCCAATTTTCTGTGTTTCAACTTTTGCAATGAAACGGTCATCATTGACAGTTATTAATCCCATTCTACGGATTGTATCCAGGCCTAGTAAGTTCATATGTCCATTTGGCACAACGACCAAAGTTGCCATGGTTTCATCACCATTTTTCGGATTTATTAATTTCAAATGTACCTCTCCTATTGGTTTCATAGGTGTTTTGTTCCACATACGCAGTGTGATTGTGCTTGGTTTTACTTGTTCTTTACGGATATATCGTTTACAAATCGTATTTACATCGGCTGCGCTATCTAATTGAAATCTAACATCGCAATCATTTACATTCATTAAAGCTGAAATGTTTTTAGACTCTGCACCTATTGCTTGAATTACATTTTCAGATGTATGGCCAGTGATAGCATTTAACCAGCAGTCATCTTCTTCTTGGTCACTTTGTGTTGAGCTGATTGAGTGTATTTTCTTGCATTTAGCTTTAAAATGGTTTCTACCTTTGCACGCATCGCATGTTTTTCCCCATGCTGGACATTTTTCCTTTTTCCTTTCATGTTTGTAACCACAGAAATTACATTCTTTGTTGTTAATTTGTGTGTTGTAAGAAGTTTTACTCTGTGATTGAGGGTGTCTAGTTTGGGGTCTTTTACTTTCAGGTTGGTAAGTTTTCTTTTTGAACTTATCATGGTGTGTAACTTTATTGACTGTGTGAGTTGAATTTGTAGATTCTCTCAACTCCTTAACATGTTTATTTGACTGTTCATAAGCTCTACAAATTTTGATTGCCTTGTCTAAGTTAATCTTGTCCTCTCTTAATAAAAGTTCTTGAAGTTTGCCCGTGACACTAAAAATAATTTTGTCACACATCATACGATCTTTCTCTTGGAAATTGCACGAATCTGCTCTAGTTCTCAATTCAGTTAAGAAATTGTCAAAAGGTTCTTGATATGGTACCATCCAAAATCTATGGGACTCTAGAACTTCATTTTTTCTTGGATTGCAGTAGGCCTCTAGTTTTTCGAAAAGTTTGTCGGGTTTCTTTTCATCACCTCCCTCTGTCCACTGAATTTGGTCAAATATGTCTACAATGTTGGGACCGGCGCAATTCAAAATTATCGCTACTTGGACTGCACCGTCCTTTTTTACAGCTCCGCTAGCCACAAGATATATTTCAACTTGCCGTTTCCATTTCTTAAAGTTTTCTGACACATTTCCTTCTGTCACATTTAATTGTGGGGGTAGACGGAAAGTGTTTGTTAAAGCCTCGGCCATTGCTGATTCAGCGTCTTTCAACCACGTGGAGAATGATTATTTTGTGATGGTGCTTTCAGGACCACTTACGCAAAATGTTTATGATAAATGTTAGTTTTATAACGTTTCAGACGTTGCTCACCGCTGCCACCATGTTATTTGGGGGTATAATCAGACAGGAAGGCTCATTAATACAAGAATTGCTTCAGGCAGAATAACAACATCAACTTGCTATCATGATGTGTATTGTAGACAAAGGAATATCTAATTACAGACACAACATCCGGTTTATAAATACATCTATAGATAATTAGCCATGTGTCGGTTATTATAAAATATAGACTCAAATTTGAATGAAAGAAACGAATCACAATTTATCAACACTCTTCACATCTCTCTTCCCAAGGAACTGTCAGTTTTATTGCAACTATCATCTTTGACGACTGTGACCAAACTACAATGTCTGGGTGTAGGGTTGACTGTACGCATTCTGGAAACACAAGCTTCTTGCCAATGTCAGCCCTCATGTTCCATTCACTGCCTTTGTCCAAGATGAAGTGCTGTTGTGACTTTGTTGCATGACCAGTATCTCCCTCTCTGACGAATCCGATCTGCTTTGCCTCTGTTGTTGAATTATAGGAATTAATTCTGTGAAAATATTGACAATTTTTGAGTTGTGTCTTGCCCAATGTCAAGATTTTCTTTCCCCTAGTCTAACTAAAGATTATAACAATGCTGCAACCAGTAAAAACTTTCTCCCTTAAATCTCCCTTAAATTTTTTTAATATTTTCGGATTTTGTCATAGAAATATAAGGAGGAGGGTGTATCATGATCTGTTGTGTAATGTATACTTTTCCAAATTTGTATTAAAGAAATAAATGTTATTACTCGATACTTTTGAATGCTATGCTTCTTAGGGTTGATTAAAACATAATGTGTCATTGCTTGCAAAAAGGGGAAATAACTACTTATAACACCGTAAATACTTTTTTTCCAGATATCATTTTTACATCTGGTGGAACAGAGGTAAGAATAAAAAATATCAAATGTTTCAATCTTAAGTTTAAGCATTACCATGGAAAGTACTCTGACAATAAATGGAAACACTTTAACAAATCAATAGATGGAACAAATGGAAAATGACTGTTGGGTTCTTGATTTGAAAATGGCCCTTTTCACATGATGTCTGCATGCATTAAAAAAATGTCATATTTTCCAGTCATTACCTGAAAAATTTCATTCACCTGATGTTTAGTTGAAACAGACACAATAATGACACTTTCAAATAATGAAGAAAAAATTTGAGGTTTAGGCAACCTTTTTATAGGCAACAAATAAAAAAAGCATGCAGCATGCAAATAATAGTTATAAAAACAACACAATGCTATTTAAACTGCTAACACTGAAAAACATATATGGAGCACTAAGACAGAATATAAATAAAAGATTTACCTGTTCACCTGAACAGACATCAGTCAATATCTTTGAAGTTGTTTCTATTGTTTAACTGCATCTAAATTAGCAGTAAATGATTAAATTTATCAAAAAAATATTTTGAATGATTAATTTTAGATTTACATGTTGAAAGGTTTTTGTCAAATCAACACACTTTGCCTACCGTAACAATTGAAATAAGGTTAAGGATAAAACTGTGTATTTTATGTTTTAGGGAAATAACATGATAATACAGACAGCAGTGAAATACGCCTATCATGACATGTCCAATGGCTATGCAGGGGGAGATAATCATGACAAACTTCCACATTTTATCACATCAAATCTAGAACATGACTCGGTAAAACTGGTATTAGAACATCTTGCAGAGGAAGGAACAGCAAGTAAATTTACTAAGTAGTTCTATTAAGTGTAAATCTTGTAAGGTCATGTTGGAGAAAATAAATGCTACTTAGAAGGTATTCACTAAGTTGTTTCTGTTTCAGTTAAAAGGAATGGCCTTCTGCATGGTTTTGAAATTATTACAAATCTGAGACTAATTAACTAATTTCCAGATTTGGCCATATATATGCATCAGATAACTGGCTAATTTCATTCATAGATTGCTATTAATTAAATTGATGGAGAAACATTAACATTTCTTGCAATGATGAACAAGCTTACAAATTTACTCTTTTTTTAAATAGGGTTAAGGTAGCATACCACAGTTAAATGTGTAGTTTCGGATTTTGGCCCCTGTGGATTTTTCAAATATGAGAGGTAGTGTGCAATAAAATTCATTTTTGGATAACTGAAGATTAAAATAGCCTTCATAGTGGGTTTATAGGAACATCAAGATTGTGTAATGTATGTATTATGGGCTGTTTTCTGTATGACAGTCCGTATTTTCATATCCATACCAAACATTGGTCCGGCAATTATTGTAATGGTTTTTTGCAACTTTTTGTCGCACGAACTTCATGATTAAATTTTACGAAAAAATGAGGCGAAAGACACCCATTTTTTATTTGATCATTTGGTAGATTAATGTCAACAATTTGGGAAAATGTATCACTCAAAGGCATTGAAATTTTAGTTTGAACTAAATTTTGGGGGAATATGTGACATTTTTATGCCCCTCTTTGCAATATTTTATGGTAAATAAAAGCAGAATGTTGCCATGGATACACAAAAGGAATTATATTTCACCATTTTAACTTGAAAATCAAATCTATGGAAGATACTGATTACATACATATGCACATGTATGACACAAACAGTTGTTGGCTTTATAATGTATTAGAAAGCCAGGAATAGAAGATGATTAAACATTTTGTGGTTCAATTTTAATTTTATTTTCTAACTGTGGAGTGCTACCTAATTCGAAACTATTTCCCTTAATCCTATATGAGCTAGTTTTTTATGCTGTTATGTTAATTAACTAGCATAATGAATCTTTTTCAGGTGTTACATTTGTACCTGCCTCCAGTAAGACAGGACAGGTAGATGTAGATGATGTGTTGTCTGCAATCAGACCTTCGACATGTATGATTACTGTTATGATGGCTAATAATGAAACAGGTGTTATACAGGTATAATTACCTTTTGGTAATTTAAAGTGGCATAAAAAATATATTGAACATTCTTTTGCCCTCAGAAATATTTGTAAAATCTGATTCAACATTTGCATACATGTATATAAAAAAAATAATTGAACTGGTTGGGCTAATATGTTTGATTCATATAAGTTCCATTACCAGAAAACAACCTTTGACTATAGTATGATTTTGATTTCATTAAATGATTTATGGACAAACTGCGTCCTTGAACTGACAAAGTCATTGTGCCCACTTGATATTATTCAAGCATCCATCTGAATTTTTATGTACATTATTCAGCCCTACCAACAGAATTGTAATAATTTTATCATTTATCATATTTATTTAAAGTTGCAATATGGAAATGACCCGAAATAACATTTATTCATCCCTTGCTCAACGTAATGAGAAAGATTAAATGCCCAACAAACATATATATATATATTGTTGTCTTAAAGTGAACACTTTAACAGAAAGATAACGATTGGAATGTACATATTCTGTAGTTTATTTTTAATGTTTCTGGTATAGAAATATTTAGTTTTCAAAATGAAGGAAAATTAAAATGTGTAAAACTGAATTGTTCATTTTAAGGTATCAAACAGTCCGTTTCTATGTATGTTGGCTTTTGTTTTTGTTGCAGTTCAGTGTTTCTGTTGTTCCATTGTTTTCCTCTTATAGTTGATTTGTTTCCCTTGGTTTTAGTTTGTAACCCGGATTTGTTTTCGCTTAATCAATTTATGACTATTGAACAGCGGTATACTACTGTTGCCTTTATTTAAGGATAGGCAACATTTGAGAAACAGTTTTTTAGTTCCCTTAATATATTCAATCTGTCATCTGTGTTTAAAATTATAAAATTTATGCATGCAGTTTCTGAATAAAAATGTCTGTGTGTTAGTGTGTGTGTTATTTAAAGAAAATTAGAGTGAGGGTATAATTTTGCAAGCTCACTTCAGTTTAACTCTGTGATCATATGTGAACTTTTTAATACTCTATTTAAAAGGAGGTAATATCTTTATTTCTCATTATTATATAGATGAGGACATTTGTATTTATGATTTTTCAGCCAATCAAAATGATATCAGAAAAATTAAGACAAATCAATCAATCAAGGAGAATTTTACCTAAGATATTACTTCACACTGATGCAGCCCAGGCCATCGGGAAAATAGAAGTTGATGTTGAAGATTTAGGTGTTGATTATTTAACTGTTGTTGGACATAAGGTATGTTAATGATTGAAGTATTATTAATCTTACCATTTCTTAACACAAAAATTATTCTGTGTGTAGCATTAATTTTGAGTAGTTATTAGGGATGTCAACAAGTACTCGAGTACTCAAGTATCACTCGGTAGTACCGAGTATTGATTACCAATATGATACTCAACTAATCGGTTTCTTGTATGGACACACTGTCTGCTTCTTTTCATAAAATTGATTTTCTTGAGAACGCCTTCCATAGAATTAAATTGTTATCACTGATTATTATTGGTTTACATATGTTTCGTTACATATATGTTTGTACTTAATTGTCATTTGAAACGCCTCTGCAAAAAAGGTGGGCAATACAGGAGAGAAGCTTTCCTAGTGCATACCTATCAACCTCTGAAACTGAAAATGCAAGTCATGACCTGCATTGAAGAAAAAAACGTCAGGTCATAACGCATACGAACTTTTTCGGTTCAATTTTAGTATTGAGAGGTTTTTTTTATATACTATAACATATACATGTACCACTGAGTTTCCTAAAAATAATCACTTTTGTATTTGTTAAGTATATAATTATTTATTATTAATTAAATATCTTTCTAAAGCAATGTCCTTTATTGTTTTATTCACACTAGTTTACTTCTTATTATTAATGAATATCATAAACCCCAGCTTTACATGTAATTAGAAATCAATTATAGCTTATGTGCTCCTATACACAGGAGGAAGATAAATAGAAAGAAGTTAGTGGGTTTCCTTTCAGTGTAATATCTAGAGCATATGGATTTGATTTAAAGCTTTTACATTTAAGCGATAACAAAATTATTCTCTTCAACAGAAATGTATTAAAAGGTTCAAATTGTTTTAAAATGATTTTTACAGGATATTTGATATTTGCAAACGGCAAATCTTTTAATCAGGACATAGAATTGTATGTCAAGCTTGACTGGCTTCAACTTTCTTTGGTAAAATTAACAAACAATCCTCGAATTGTTACTTTTCAATCAAATGTAATGTTATGATAGCTGTCATTGGCACGGTAAATAAGCAAATTCTAATTTCAATTGTTTACCTTTTCAAAGGAAAAATGCAGAGAAAACCGAAAGTATATTTGACTTCTAAATACCAGAAACAATACCGTTCAGAAATACGGGTGAAAACAGGTTATTTTCTGATATCCCGGGCTATTTGAATACCCGGCGGGTATTTAAAAAAAACGGTATGAAGGGGGAAATTCTTGGGTGTAACCCGCAGAATACGGGTCAGTTGACAGCTATGCTAGTGTAACCGGAGTGCATGATTCTTATGAGAAAATCACATTGTCTCCACCGGGACTCTAACCTGGTACCTCTGTGTTACAAGGCAGTGCTTTAACCGACTGAGCTAAAGAAGTACTTCCCTAGCTCAACCGCTTTTGGCTGACTAAGTATCTACTGCATGTTCTAAGGGAAGCAATCCTGTCACACTTCCCCCACCTCAAGAGTTATCATACCATTATGACTCAAACAACACATACCCTAGCTAGAAATCCTCTCTAACTACCGTGGGTTTTTTAGTTGGGCACCAAATGTTACCAGATCGAGAGCATGATTCTTATAAGAAAATCACATTGTCTCCACCGGGACTCAAACCCGGTACCTCTGTGTTACAAGGCAGTGCTCTTACCAACTGAGCTAAAGAAGTACTTCCCTAGCTCAACCACTTTTGGCTGACTAAGTATCTTCTGCATGTTCTAAGGGAAGCAATCCCGTCACACTAGGATTAAACATTTGGCTAAACGTGTTTTTGCCATTCCGCCACAACGGTACGGTCGTTGCAAATATTTTTGTCTGCAAGACTGTAAGTTTCAAAGTTGCGAACCTGACTCTCCCCGGAAGCAGTTATCAAGATAATATGTCTGTATAATAACACATTTGTTGCACCCTGTGGTGACCCTCAGTGAATGGTTGAACGTATCAGGGACTTCTACTCCTCATGCCTTTGTTGATCATTAAAAGTGTTCTCTTTACGATAACATACTTATTATACTCAATACTGATATGTTTATTTAATCTGGTTTGATCTGGTTTGACCTTGTAATCATTAGAATATTGATCATTAATATATTAAATAGGTTTTTATTAAACTATTAATTAGATTATTGTTTACTTAAGTAGTGCAAGTAAAATTTAGTTATTAATTATGGTATATAATTCCTGTGATTATTACTGATCTGGTCCCAGATAATAAAGTAGAGGTTTTTTTCGTCCATTAAACAACGACCCTCAAAGTGTGAAATGCATATAATTGTGTTCCCATTTTGATGACATTTTCCAGAGCGAGTGCTCAAGTATCGCTCAGTAAGACCAACCAGTACTAGATTAGTAATTCTACGCCGAGTTGACATCCCTAGTAGTTTTTGATTCCTTTAATTCTTAAGTCAACCAAATTTGGTATCTTATGGTATCTTGTCACAGATTTTTTTTCTTTTTTAATAAATTTTAAATTTCATCAACAAACAAGTTCTTGGTCATGAATTCTAATTTACTGGGGGAAAAAATATGCAAAAGCTCCATTTTGTCTAAATTTTTGGAGCTTTGAGATCAAAATTTAGATACCATAGAAGTTCATTTGACCATTACCTGAGTCTTCATCATATTTTTTTTCCATCACTTGGCATCTACTGTCTGAACTTATTCATTGTTATGATATTCTAAAATCTTTCTCTCCTGTCTGTCTTGATATGGCCAGTATCTATATTTAGATACTTACCAAATAAAGGACAGTCCCTACACAACATGCAAATCTTTCTGCAATTAGTAATAATTTCAGTGCTATTAAGATAAAGCCATTTTTTAGTCTGAGAATTGTCTTGACTATAATGGGAACTACAGTATTCATGCATTTTGATGGGTTGACCATTGACATTGTTCTTACCCTCAAGACTATTTAATCTTTATAGCGCTTTATGTTCTTCAAGATACAGGTACGGACATGGTTTTGTTCTTGATTTCCATTTCCGTTTTCAAACTGTACCTTAAAGGGAAATTAGCTAACAAATTCATAACCACCAAAATGACCCAAACTCTTTGATTTGAATGATAACATTATAAAATATTTAACAGAATTAAAAAGGTTCCATAAGATACATATTTGGGAGGGGTTGGGTGTTGCAGGGGTAGGAGAGAAAATAAAAATATATGGTTTTATCTCATTTTATAATAATAATAGAAAGTAAGTGTTTATATTTTCAACATGTTTTCTTAGTTTTATGGTCCAAGGATAGGAGCCATATATGTTAGAAACCTTGGTAATAAAGATGTTCCATTATACCCAATGTTATATGGAGGTGGACAAGAGAGAAATTATAGACCTGGGTTAGTACATGCCATGTTTCCGTAATCACTAAAAAGAAAAGTTAATTGAATACTTCACAAACAAATTAAAATAGTAGATTAAGATAGAATGTGTATATACATCTGAAATATCATTTACAACTGTACTGAGTGCAGTAATTTAATGTTTGATTAGTTTCAGGTGAACCAAGAATATTCGTTATAAACTAACAAAGTGGTAAAAGAGTATATTGTTTTTTTTAAACCCCTTTAATGATTTGAAATAGGTAGAAAGTAAACTTACAATGATTCAATTTCTTCAATAATATACAAAACACTCACACTAATTACCTGAAAATCTTCTTTTTGTCAAATTTTCTTTCATTCTGAAGTGTACAAAAAGAAACAAAATGTCTGATGTTCAAGTTTGGCACCTGAAAAAGACATGATGTCATACTGGTATGTGCTAAAGAACAGGTCAACGATTCACAGAATTTTGTATTTAACACAAATAGAATATTTACCATAGGGGATAACACAAAGAAAATGTTTACCATAAGAGAAATAGGTTTAACAACTCGTTATTTAATTTGAATACTGGGTAGTAATAATAAACTCGTCATAGGCACATTTATTATTGTATTGAAATCAGATTACTTGAGTTGATATCAAGCGATATAAAATTCTCACATGTTTTTTTGGTTTATATATAAATATTAATGTGAAGATCTCAAAATGGGACTTTTTGAAGTTTTGTAATAAATGAAAGAAGTTTGAAGCTCTAAAGAAATCTGTAATGCACAATTCTTAAATATAAGTACTGATTTATCCAAAACTAATGTCTGGAGAACATTTAATGATGCTTTCAAAATGTAAAGGATAATTAAACTAAGAGTAACTATATGATAAATTTAATAAAGTCATTTATAACTTTACTCCCTAATCATCATTTGAAAAAATAAAGTTACTTTTCATTTTGATCTGAAATTCCTATACAGTTCAAGTCAGTTACTGCTCTCAATATGGCAAAATGTTATCATTGTTGCTGTCATGGCAATAATTAAAAATTTTCAATATTTTTTTTCATAAGTATGAAATGTATATGTATAATAAAAACAATCATTGTTTTTTGCAGAACAGAAAACACAGTAATGATAGCTGGTTTAGGAAAGGTAAGCTTTTAATTAAATGTATCATTGTCACATCTTTATAGCACTTTATGTTTTTTTTGCCAATTTGCTGAAGTTGGGTTGCAACTGCTTAAGATGTGTGTAAGAATACCGAAACTAACATGCACAAGAATTCCTTAGAAACACTTTTTTGGGTTGATGCAATGTAATAAATCTATCATTACAGCAGCATATTATAATGTTATAATATAGCACAAATTTTATTACTTTTTCTATGGTGTATACAAGAAACGTTTCATTATGCTTACATTGATATCACTGATTTTATTCAAATTAGGTCATACCTTGAAGAAGCTTTGCTGTAGCCATTTTATTTTCAGAAATGACACGACAATGTTTTACAACTTAAGCACACATAAGGTGCTTCAAGATGATACCAAGATACATTAGCAAATACATAATTATATAAATCGGCTGTATTGTTCTCTATATGTATTATTTGTCATGAATAAAATATTATTGATTAAAAAATAACTGTTTTTACCAAAATAAGCACAACTGTTTTCTAGGCAGCTGAGCTTGTAGTAAAGAATATCATTTGTTACAAGAATCATTTATCTTCAGTCAGGGATTATCTGGAGATCAAGTTACAGGCAAGTTTAGTTTTCATTTCATTTGTGAACATTTTTAAATAGAGTTGTTTAAAACAGACAGAATATGTCAGGGGGGAAATAAAAATTTGAAAGGAAAAGACCTGGAGACATTACCATGATCAAAAAGATAAACTATAAAAAGACAAACAATAGTCTATAAAATACTACACTGAAAACAACAGACTGAGCAACACAAACCCAACCTTGTGATGATCTCAGCTAGTGGCTCTTGTCATAATGTTCATGGCAAGTACAAATGTCACATTATGTGATGACATAATCGAGAAAAGAGTATGGGATTGTGGCTACAATAATTGGAACAAGTCTGTGGTCATCATGAAAACAGTCAACTAAATCATGATGATGTCTGTAAAAACTTTTGAAGGGATGACTTCTACTTTACCAATAGGAACCCTTGGTTCAAAAGTTTTCTTATAAGCAGCAACCCTCTATCAAGGAAATCATGAGGGGGGGAAACAAAAACTTGAATAACTTATCAACTGGGAGATATATACTTCACATGCAGATGCTGCTGGTATATTGTGATTTATATAACTGGAAAGTTAACAATTGAAAATCATCTCTTTTCTTGTAAACAACTGTACATCTATTTAACATTGGAGGAATGAAAAAAAGTAAATTTAATGTCACATTATTCATTTTTAAATTTATACTGTCCACATATATAGCACTTGCTACAAACATGGCTGCCATTTTTCATTTTTGTTTTTTTGTTCAATTTCTGTTATCACAAAGTTAGAAAAGCTAAAAATTGTCATGTTCTTTTAACAGTTAAAAAATCCATAATGGAAAAAAAAACCAATAAAATACACAAATTAAAAAAAAAATCGAAGTGTATATACATCAATCAAAGAACAATTAATAGGGCCTTTTGTTTTCAGAAATAAGTATATATTTGATTCAGGAAGCCTTCAAAGATAGGATCCATTTGAATGGTAAATTTCCCTCCAGTGAAAGACTACCAAATACTTGTAATGTATCCATTCTGAGTGACAAATTACAGGGTAAGTTATATACAGATGAGTCTTTTATTTTTGTGGGGACCACTCTTCATCAATTGAGAAAAAAATGTACTTTTAAAAATCTTTATTTTGTACTTATGACAAATTCTGCAAACAAACCTAAAGAAATTCAATGGTTCACGAATTCCCTTGAAATCCATAAAAAATAAAAAAGCATCTCAGGATTAAAAATAATTTCTCAGTACCAAATAAATTCATGTATAATTTGGGTTCTTACCTTTTTAGCTCACCTGGCCTAAAGGGCCAGTGTGAGCTTTTCCCATCACTTGGTGTCCGTCTTTGTCGTCCGTGAACTTTTACAAAAATCTTTCCTTTGAAACTACTGAGCCAAATTTAACCAAATTTGGCCACAATCTTTATTTAGATATCTTGTTAAAAAAAAGGTGTCAGATGGCTATAAATAAAGAAAATATGACATGGCAAAAATGTTCAGAATGTTGAGCTCTACCTTCTGTCTGTCAGATGACTTCTGATAGGAGTTATTGCCCTTTAAATGACAATTTTTTGTATTTTTGCCTATTGACTTGAAAACTACAATAGATAGGTAACAACTTTAAAAAACCAAAGATGATCAGCAAGACAATTTCCAAAATAAGTCAATATTGCTGAAATCGCCAGTTAACTCCTTGTAGGAGTTATTGCTCTTACCAAGTGTGCGAGACCCTCATGGGTAGTCAAGGTCGTTAAACACCCCCTAGAAGTTAAATGATGATTTTTATAAATGTTTGTGTTTTCTGCATTAAGCAGACATCATTTAAGAGCAGAGGGAAAACTTGTCTTTGTCTGCCTGGTTGTCAAAAAAATGTTGCTTTTCCTTTTGCTGATTTGTTACTTTGTGAACTACCATGCTAAGTTTTAATGGTCTAGTACATTCAAAATGAACAAGCCCTTTGCCAAAAATTTGCATGAAATATTTGTTGAAGAGCATTTTGTAACTTTCAGTCAATCAATTTTGGAAACTAAAGAGATTTAATTTGTGGAAAAGATAGATAAGTAAAAGTTAAGAGTTATCTTCTCCTTGAACAATGCTTCCTTGAAGGTAATTCTGTAAATTCAGAAATTGTTGCGTGCATTTATCATATTGATTTTTGTAGAATGGACATAAAATGTGAGATCAAATATTGCAATTTCAGGAAAATCTGCATACTGATGTTTAATTATTGCAATACTAACCCAGTCGCATTATTTACATTTATAATAAAAGCCTTGCAATAAATTCTGAATTTACAGTATTACAAATGGACATTTTGTTTCAGTAAAAGTAAATTATAGATTCTGATATGAAGGTGTAAATGCAACTTTTAAAAAAGAAAATTAAGCTTCACAAAAATGCACTCAACATTAATTTGATATTGATTTCAGACTTTTTAATTTTAGGTCATAAAGTTTTATCTAACTGTAGAATTCTACAAGCCAGTATTGGTGCTGCTTGCCATTCACAAAATAGGTATTTTATTATCTCTGTTTATGTATATGAAAAAGTTAATTCTAATTGGCTGGATAATTAACTTGATTCGATTTAATAATAGCATATTATTTATAAACTCACATTATTTACAGACTTAAGTCTAAATTACTTATTCCCAGGGTAGAATTAAATGTGTGTATATAATCTCGCAATATCTGCTTTCACATATCCTTCTAATTTTAACACATTGTTATTTCATTCCATATCATGTATTAAATTTATAAACAATGTTGACTCTCACTAACGCAGTTGCTTATTGTGGATATTACACACAATAAGAAGAAATAAAACATTAAAAATTTCCTGATTTGAAGCATTAACATTTTTATCTCTGTGTTTTTGAACTTGCAAAATAATTTCCAAGCTTTTTTCAGATAGAATTTTAAAATCATTGACAGCGACACGATCCAATATTAGTATAAAACATCAAAGAAGCCGAAATTGTCAGATCAGCGACCACCTAGATCTGAACTATTATAAACAGAAAAATGAAAGCATATTCATAAATCTGGTTTTTTTCAATAGAACAGATGTATTTTATATCTTTTATTTTCTTGTAAAGCATATTGCAATCATGTATATAAATTACTTCAAATCTTTGTCTTAATCTGGGCCATTTTTAATCCTGTCATTTCTTGTTTGATTGCAGACCATCACCTATTCTGTTAGCAATAGGAGTTCCTGAATCAGTTGCTAGAAATGCATTGAGGTTGTCAGTTGGCAGAGAAACTACTAAAGATGATATTGATTGTGTGATACAGGACTTAATACAAGCTGTAAATCAACTAGAAAATCATACAAAAGAGACATGATTCTATATTTTTAAAAGTGGATGTGATTTAATATTTTAGCTTGTTCAAGTAAACCTGTTTAAGCTCTTAATTCAAAGATCTCAATGCAAATTGCTCTATGTAGAAAAAAATCAGTGTCGTAGTTAAAACAACTTTATAATTAGATATTTTGTCAATTAGCAATTATTATTAGTTTTGGAAGGTAAGCAATTATTTATTGCCCTGGCATATATTTCTAAAAAGACATGCATATCCGTTATTGGTGAATATTTTGAGTGTTGCTCAGATTGACACTATAATGATTGTCCTTATCTTGCTGTAGGAATAGGACTCTTTAGTTCATTGTCAAAAAAGAGAGAAGGAAGATACCAAAGGAATGGTCAAACTTATAAGTCTAAAATGACCTGACACCATGGCAAAATCTTACAACCTTTAAGATTGAAAAAAAGCATTAAAAGCACTGTTAATTTGATAAATCGGTATAAATGGTTATTTTACAGCATATCAAAAGACTGTTAGCTTGCCAAGCCTTTATCCTTTCCTGTTTTGCTAATGATAATTCTAAAGCTTTCTGCCAAATTTTGAAAATGTTTTTGTGGTGATTAATCATGTGCTGTGCAGATATTTAAACCTCTAAGTTGCCATAAGAATATTGATTTGGAAGAAAAATTTTATTTATAGATCTCTATGTTAATTTTGTGAATGTCAGTATTAATGTATAAGTCTATTGTAATAAATCTTATCAAAATCAATGTTCTCAGTTTATTTGTAAAATCTCTGAATGAAGAAGTAATGTAACACTGATGATTTTGCAGTACCATGTTCTAACCCTCTTTAGCTCAACTGGACAGACGGTCCATATGCTATTGCCACCACTTTGCATCTGTCTGTGTTTTTCAAAAGTCTCCTGATACCATTGAACACATTTTAACCAAACTATGTAGGAATATTTATTAGGGGTATCTAGGTAATAGAGGTTCTTATTCATCAAAGAATATGGCTGCTGTTTCTGCAAATAGCTCAGAGGAATCAAATTTCAGTTCTGACTTATTTCTCAATAAATGTAAATAATAGAGATGGTCTGGCAGGGTTCAAAACGATGACATGTCAAGAACTACAAGTCTTCATTTGGGTCAAAATTGTCTAAAGCCATCTTCCATTATTAGAAAGGTAAATATGCTAGATTTACTTCCTGGAACTGTGTCCATCTTGACAACAGGAATATACATTTCAGCATTAAGTTTATTATTATCACATGATAATTGAGGGGCCTGATGGGTTATTTTCGTTCTTCGTGATCGGCGCATTTTCGCTATCGTGATCCGTTTTTCTACAGATTTATTTTTCGTGATTCGTGATGAAAGCATTGTTCGTGAATCGTTTTCATTGGAGTTTTATGTTCGTTCTTCGTGATTGAGACATATATTTCGTTCTCGTGATTTTTTTTCCATTACGGAAATAAAGAGTTCCATGATCACAACTTAATGGACCAGATGGAACCATATCATTGAAAACTTTGAAGTCCGTAGACATGATCCATAGTGAACTGGGTTATTTGCAAAGTCAAATAACGTCAGTTAACTCATCAATTCCCATAAACATGTTGTCATGTCTCACTGTATGCTTTGAAACTTACTTGCTCTTGGACATTTCAAATGCCAATTACCAACAATGTTAGAACATTCCCGGAACTTAAGCAATACGGTGTATGAGGGAATAAAAAGGAGTGTTCTATGGGCTGCCTACTACTTTACGCATCCCTCCTCTTATTACCCTATTCCTGAAAATGACATGCCATTGTCGTCCCTGAGTGCAATGGAGCTCTTGAAACCAAAAGCCCTGCTGTCAAAAGACCAGGAACGAGAAATGCGTGAGTGGGCCCAGGACTTTGGAAAGTGTGTTCGACAAAGATCAGTACGACAGCAAACGACAATGTACAACACTGGCACATTACCACTTAATATGTACAAAAATGCAACTTACAGTGCCACAAGTGAACAAATCACATTTCTTTCAATATCTGAAGAAGGTAACAAGGACTACGATCAAGTTTCTGAATATGATTCAGAATCAGATGTGGACGACACTGAAGAAACGGACAATGCTATTGACACCCCAGAATGTCTTAGTTTTCTTCAAGGGACAACCAGCAGGAGTGGGAGAACAATCAGGCTCAGCAGTAAATTTTATTTACAAAATAAATATATATACATGTACTATATAGTCTCTGAGTTTAGTCTCAAGATAAAACACAGACGTGGTTCCGTGGTATTTTACGCCAGTAAAACACTTCTAAGAAATATTATATGATACAATACAAGAAGTCAGAATGTGACTGTTTTTAACGATTTAATTTAGAACCTGGGAGAATTCAACACGTAAACAAGTAATGAGCCAGTAATGTATTTGATTGTAGCTTAATTGAACCAATCTACAACACAAACAACCAGCTTCTGAATCTCTATTATCGAGATTGATTGGGGATACTCTTTTTATATTTTCGTGATCCGTGATCATGGAAATTTATTTTCTGTGAATCGTGATTGACAAAAAAAACAACTCGTGAATCGTGATGAGACCCCCCCATCAGGCCCCTCATAATTGACTTGAAAACTCAACATATTCCCTCACGACACTTACTAAAGAAGAAACCTAATAAATTGAAGGTCTGTTCCATGTTTCTTTATTTTGCTGGGTCTCCAAGTGCTCCACGAAACCTATTTCTAAACAATGAACATCAATTTTTTCAGCAATTAAAACCTGGCTTTAGAGTTATTGTGAAACTACCTATACTCTAGGGGCGGTGATAATCAGATGAGGAGACTAAAAAATTTCAAAGATCTGTTAGAGTACATACAATCTAAGTCTCTTTCTTCTTTATGTTGAAAATCTTTAAGATAAATGTTTTACTACAAGTATCACATAAACTTGAACATTATCAATGATCCATGTAAATGAGGTCAAGATCAGATGAACCCTGCTAGATGGGCATGTACACTTTGCAATCATTCCAAATAACAAATGTAGTTATTGTTTCTGAGAAACATACACATCCACAAACACTTCACATTGATCAATGAACCATGAAAATGAAGTCAAAGGCAGATGAACCCTGTCTGACAGACATTTGGTCTCTGAGAAACTGACTTAACCCTGATAATATAACATTGACAAATGAGCCATGAACTTGAGGTCAAGGTCAGATGAAGCTTGCCAGACAGACATGCACATCTTACAATTTTTCCATATACCAAATATAGTTGACCTGTTGCTTATAGTATCTGATACAGGCTTGACCATGAAAACTTTAATCACTGATCCCTGAAATGAGGTTAAGGTCAGATGAACCCTGTCTGATAGACGAGTTAAAAATTCATGTTTAAAAAAAAAATTGTAGTTTTTCTGAGCAGTTGCTAACAATGAAAATGAGGTCAAGGACGATGGATGTATGACTGATGAAAATTTCAGATTATTAGGCATTGATGCAATGTATGAAGCATCCAAGTCGTCTGTCTACTTTTGAAATATAAAGCTTTATACAAATTTTTTACCCGGCTGCAGTTTCAGAATTGGACTACAAAGAGACCTGTTTATAGCAAATGTAATTTTATGTATAATGAACTTTGAAAAGGATTTTTAAATCCTTGGATAGTACTCTCATAAAGTAAGATAACTCTAGTCAGATTTATTGTTAAGATCTATATCTGCTAACAAATCAGTAATTAGTCAGTTAGAGCTACAGGAAATATGTAACACATCCCCTATACTGAGATGCATGATTAAATTTTCTTTGATTTTCAGTCAGCCGTTTTCCATTCCTTTGTAGATATAAAATTCCTTGATGTAATCCAATTGCTTTAAGATCAGTTATAATGTCAAATTATTGCAAATAATTAGCTGAGATTTTGAAGATAATTCTTTTTTTTTTTAAATCAAGGACACATTATAATGGTGGTTGTCACTTATGCTTTTGTATTTTTGTCGAGCCTTCGACTTTAGTCGAAAAAGCGAGACATAGCGATCCTACATTCCGTCGGCGTCGCTGTCGGCGGCGTCCACAAATATTCACTCTGTGGTTAAAGTTTTTGAAATTTTAATAACTTTCTTAAACTATCCTTGATTTCTACCAAACTTGGACAGAAGCTTGTTTATGATCATAAGATAGTATCCAGAAGTAAATTTTGTAAAAATAAAATTCCATTTTTTCCTTATTTTACTTATAAATGGACTTAGTTTTTCTGCCGGGAAATATTACATTCACTCTGTGGTTAAAGTTTTTAAAATTTTAATAACTTTCTTAAACTATCCTGGGTTTGAACCAAACTTGGACAGAAGCTTGTTTATGATCATAAGATAGTATCTAGAAGTAAATTTTGTAAAAAAATAAATCCATTTTTTCCGTATTTTACTTTTAAATGGACTTAGATTTTCTGCCAGGAAACAGTATATTCACTCTGTGGTTAAAGTTTTTAAAATTTTAATAACTTTCTTATACTATTTTGGATTTGTACCAAACTTGGACAGAAGCTTGTTTATGATCAAATGCTAGTATCTAGAAGGAAATTTTGTTTTCTTCCAGTTAACATTACATTCAGTCTGCAGTTAAAGTTTTTAAACATTTATTAGATTCATAAACTATCCTGGATTTTTACCAAACTTGGACAGAAGCTTCTTACAATCAAAAGATAGTATCAAGAGGAATATTTTTATTGATTTACTTCCTCATTTTTGTTGAGCCTGCGATTAAACAGAAAAAGTAGGCGAGACACTGGGTTCCGCGGAACCCTTACGAATTTTGTTCTATTTCAGGTGTCAAAATAACATCAATTTAAGATATAATCTTATTGAACTTTGAATTCCACCGTGTCAAAATTTGAAAAGCTGGCAAAATTTGACACACCAAAATCTAACCACTACCGTGTTGTGGAAAACTCCATAAATATTCCTCAACCAAAATAGCCTTATTTACAGAAGAAGTTATTGCCCCTAAATGATGTTTTACCGATTTTTAGGTTTTTACCTCTCCTTTTGAAAACTGTAATTGGCAGAAACTTTACATGGCAAAAATTAATGCTCTCAAATGACTAGTTTTGACCAGTTTCCGCATATGGTTTAAAGGGAAGTTTGAGATCTCTAAAAACATTCCCATGTTAAACTGTCTGTCCAAAATGACTAATCTCATCAGTAGTAGTTTTATGTCCCATCTTAATGTTTTTCATTATTTAAGGAAATGGTAGATCTTTATTATTCTCAACTTTTGTAAACTTTTTTATCGATTTAGAGCTTGTCATATTGAATGTCTATTAATTATTGAAGACTGTATGTTACACCTTCTAGATGTCATGTGGTTATTGTTGTTGTTGGGTTGCTGTCTTGTTGAAGAACAGTACAACAGACCACATCACCAGCATAAGTTTTACAACTGGTTATTTAAATGGACTTGTTATAATGGAGTCATAAAAACTTATTAAATCAACATGAAAATAATAATCAAATTTATTTTGGTATAACATTAATAGCACTTATTATTTTCAATATAAACATCACAATTATGTATAAACTGAAATGGAAATGATGTCACGTCAAGAAATGATTTAAATACTCAGATGATGTCACGGCAAGAAATGATTTAAATACTCAGATGAAGAATGTTTAAAGAATAAAAACAAACATTAATTCATATATAAAACAAGAAATGATTGTAACAGGATGCTGTTACGAAGTCTCCCAAACGAAGCTCCCATAATTCGTA